GGTTTTTTGATTTTTTGTTTTGTTTTTTTAAAGATTTTATTGGGGGAATTGGAAAAGGGGAACAGTGCTGGGGAATCGGGAAAGGGGAACAGAAAAGTTGTTGTTCTTTTGTTCTTCAGTTTAGTTGTGGAGGAAGTTCCTTCACTGGCCCATGTTGGTATTATCATTGTGCTCTTCCCGGATGATGCAGATCAGTCGCCGGCCTCTGGATGGCTGCTCTCAATGGTTCTTGGCAGCTCACACCTGCTGCTGGCCACACAGGGTAGCTTATGGCAGTCCACTGCATCAGGGGCTGCAGCCTATTCCATCTCCAGAGACTCACTGCAGCCCAGCTCCAGGTTGAGCTGTTGTTCAGCATCTTAGCTGTAGAGGGCAGTGTCACTGGCCCTCATGTGGGATCCAAAACGGGGTCCTACTGCTCAGAGCTGGTGTCCCAATGCAGCTCTTAACCAATGTGCCACTCATTCGGGCCCAGCAAGAGGTTTTTTGTTTGTTTGTTTTGGTTTTGTAACTATTGGAAGTGTACAGGCATTTTATAAAGAGAGCACACTGGAAAAAAATAAGGCCAAAATAACTCCTGAAATTAATCTTTTAGGTAATCATATTTTCCTAACCAAAAATCATGATGCATTTTCTAGTACCACCTTACGAATGTACTCCTGGCCTGGAAGTCACCACCTTGAGAATGGACCTTTACTTTTTCATCTGTATTACTGATTGCTTGCACGAGGTCTGGCATATAGAAGGGATCTAATAAATCATTGATGAATGAGTGAGTGAGTGAATGAATGAATCAATGAAGAGAAAAGAACAGAAATGAAACTAGAATTGTCATGAAAAATCAAGGACCAATTCTTGTCATACTTATATTTCTTTTAGCCATGATTCTAATCTTAAGCATCATCAGTTTTAATGTAAACATTTACTTCTTATATTGTCATATGGTGATATGAAAATACTAAAAATATAAATAAAAGTGAATCAGAAGTGTTTTACTTGAGAGTGTGGGAATAATTCTTAGTCATATAACCTTTTAGCAGAGCTATTTTGGAGTTTGCTCATGTTGCATTTCGCTGGGTCATGATGTAATGTGCACTAGAGTGGTTGATTAGATGGTTTAGGGAAAAAGGTGGCTAATAAGATGTCTTTTTAATTAGGATGTCTTTATAATATATTGGGTTCTCATGTTGCTTTCATATATGTTAGTAAGTAAACCATATCTTTTTTTTTAATTTTCTGACACTTCTTCAGTTTCTACTCTCTTTTTTTCAAAATGAAAGATTATGCCTTTTCACTTTGCTATTTTAGTTAAATACTTAATTTGCCTCTCTTAAAATTCTAGGTAACAGCAGTGTTTAGTTAAATGTAATTTTATTTATGAAGCCTTGTTATGTGATTGTTTTGTGGAATTCAGTCCTTTTTCTTAGGGAAAATGAAATGTAAAGAAACAATTCAAATGTTTTCATTGAAGTATTATGTCTGTAGAGGCTTAGCCATATTACCAGGGAGAGACCTCTAATTCCTTGCTTTCAAATTTTGCCTACTTTTGGGAGCACATAAGCAGGTATGAATCTAATATCACATGGTTGTAAGAATCCCAAAAGTTATCTATACTTTTTAATGGATGGTAGCTTATTTTTATGAAAATTTTATAATGCATGCTAGGATAGCTTGATAATACAGAAATAAGACCCTATGCTCTTTATTTATGCAAAATAAAATCTTTTGTATGCCTGGGTAATTTAGCATCCAAATTTGATGCATACATATAGAGAGGTATCATTTAAGAAAAAAAAATTAAAACTTTGTTTTCCTTTAAGAACTTATGTTAATTATCCCAATAATTTCTAAATATATTTTCTTTGTGATAGAAATTTTCCAGCTCCAAATTTTTTTTGCTGTACTTCTAGTTTGTAGGATAGAAGCCTAAGGCACCTGAGGTTATCGCTGATGGAATAATATTAGAAATAGGACTTAAGCTCATAAAAATATTTTACATTTTTCGTATCACTGTAACATAGAGATTGCTTATAATATCAGTCAACTCACAAAAAGCACTCGGCAACTCTGCTTGCCTGCCCTTCATCTCTATGACATAAACCTATTCCCTTTCTTGTTACTAAAATTATTGCAAGTGTTTAGAGCTAGAAAGCAAACAGTTGAAAGTTAATACAGTTTCATATGAAAACTAATAAGATCCCTCCTCTGCTAACTTGGTCAGAAAACTTGGTCAGGCCCACAGGGCACCTGTTAGTTAATTCATTTTCTAGCTTTGTGTATTGTGTCAGGACAGTGCCTCTGGATACAAAGATGAGGAGAGCATGGATTTTGCTCTCTAAAAAGCTTGTTTAAGAAGGGGTAATAGTTGTATAAACAAATAAATAATTCAAAATAAAATTGTTCTGTGGGCACCTAGAACATAGGGCAGCTACCTCTACTTGAGGATATTCAAAGAAGGCATTTGGGTTTTGAATAGTAGCCAGGAGTTTGATATGAGAAGATGATGGTAGGGGGAGACTCCTGACCAAGGAAAATGTTTTCCCTCTACCTAGAAATTGAGGGACTTAAAGAATGTCCTTTTGGGGAGTCCACTTCATAGTCGATGTAGAGGCCTGATCACCACATTGTATTTCTGAAACTGATGTTGAATAATACTGTATGACAACTATAATTATATATATACATATAGTCTCGGGACATGGAGTAGAGAGCGGGAACGGATTCAATGGAATTGTAATAGATAAGCATGATATCGGGGGGTGGGAGGGCAATAGATGGGGGGAGGGGGGTTGTTACCTGGTGAGGGTGAAAAGGGTAACTATTGCATTGTTCTGTACACCTGAAACTAACAATAAAAAAAAATTAATTAAAAAAAAAAAGAATGACTTGTTTATATGGCAAAAGATGAGACTTCACTTGGCCTAGAGTTGAGGAATATGGAAACATGATAAATAAAATAAATGCAAATTGTGAAGGACCTTATATTCTAGGCAGTATATTGCCATAATTAAAAATTGGCTCTGTACTTGGACTGCTTGATTTAGAATCTCATTTCTTCCATTGGTTTCCTGCTTGCCTGCCTTTGGGTAAAAGTTCATCTCTCTTAAGATTCAGTTGCCTCTCTGTAAAATGGAGATAATGAGAGAACTTTCCCCATAGTATTACTGTGAGAATTAAATGAGAGTATCCATTATAAAGCACTTAGCCTGGCACATATTATATGCTCAATAATATAGCTGTTTTAAAAAATTATTCAAAGCATAGGAGTTGAAGTTTTAAATGTTAGTTGCAGGATCTGGCACAATTGAAAGGATAGAATGCAGGAAGGACAAAAAAATGGAAAACCAAGGAAAAGTCTGTTGTAATAAACAAGTATTGATATACAGCAGCTCCTGGAATAACATTTCTTTCAGTGCCATTTCGTTGTAACATTGATGAGATGCCGCCTTAGGAACCTAACTCTTGTATGTATCAATTAGCCTATGGTAAACTGGTTTCATTATACATCCTTTCACTTAAAGTTGCAGAACCTATCAACCTTGTTAAATAAGGACTTACTGTAGACTATAAGTGAAATACATTAGCTAAAACTATCTTATTAAAATATCTTAATTATTTCACACACCACTGTGTATTTCATCCCTAGAATAGTAGTTTTTTTGCAGACCAAATAATGTTCATCTTTTAGGGATTTTAACTAACACTATCAAAGAACAGTTATTAAAGACTGTAAATTCATCATTCTGCATTGCAAAACAAAGTTCAGATTTCAGCTATTGTAAATTTTTGAATGGTTATAAATTTTTTTTAAATTTTTTTTATCGTATACTTTGAATGTTCTCCTGTAGACTGTAGGCCCAGAATAGCTGTCCATGTATGTCAGATATTCAGTGAGGTAACCAGAGAGCGCACCCTTTTCTTTCTGCTTGTTAAAATGCCCTTTATGATGAGCTATTAATATTAAGTCAGAAGGTCAGTAATTATAATGTAAAAATAGACAGGAAATTAAGATTCCATCTACTTGAAGTTGCTTTGACCTTTGACCTTTGCTTTATGTTGGTGTTTTATTAGATAAAATTAGAAGTAGCATTAATTATGAAAAGATCAAAGAAACTTTTTAAAGGTGAAAAATTACAGTACTTACAGGCAATTATCTTATTGGGATAAGCATTTACCTTTGCATATACATTTGCTATGTATGAAATTCAGCTGAATAGCTGTATTTTTTTTTTTTTAAGTCTGGTATGGTGTTAGGACTAACAGATCACTTTACTGTTTTTTGTTGTTTTTTTAAGATTTTTATTGGGGAATTGGGGGATGGGAAAAGCGCTGGGAAATTGGGGGAAGGGGAACAGACAAGTTGCTGTCCTTTTGTTCTTTAGTCTAGTTGTGGAGGACGTTGCTTCACTGGCCCAAGTTGGCACCATCATTGTGCTCTTCCCGGGCGAGGCAGATCAGTCGCCGGCTTCTGGACGGCCACTCACGGCGGCTGCTGGCTACACACGGTAGCCCATGGCAACCCACTGCAGCAGGCCGGTGACTCATGGCAGCCCAGCCCCAGATTGAGCTGTTGTTCAGCATCTTAGCTGTAGAGGGCAGTGTCACTGGCCCTCATGTGGGATCTGAACCGGGCCCTCTGGCGTCCCAAGCCAGCTCTTAACCAACGCACTACTCGGCCGGCCCGCACTTTACTGTTGTAACATGATCTAAATGAGTCTACCGTAGAAGATCTCAGACTATCCTAATAATGTAGGAACAAGATCTTTCACTTACCTAATGTAACAAGATAGAACCAGTTTTGATTATTCGGGAAACAGTTTTCTGTTTAAGATGTGAAATTAAGCAAATATGCCTTCATCATTTCTTTGTAGTAGTTAATTTCCACCTCTTATAATTTTAATTTATTTTGCTTTTGAAAATTAAGATATTCTCATTTTTTGTTGACTTTGTTTCTGCTGAATACTCCCAATTTAACCCATGTCTTTAAAAATTCTCTTTAGTACCCCAGGTTCTTCAAAGCTGTACAGCATTCATTGAAAGATATGGCATTGTGGATGGAATATATCGTCTCTCTGGCGTTGCCTCCAATATCCAGAGACTACGGTAAACCTTATATGGTGTTTTTCTTTTTCATTTCTATTGTAATTCATTAAAATGAAATTATTTCACAATTAAGTCTCTCATACTAATAACCATAATTTTCAGTAAGATGGTTTAGAAAAAGTAGGAGATAATATCCATATTGTTCTCTGTACATATTTTCCTAAATGCCATTTCTTCATTTATAGTATCAGAAAACCATATATCCGTAACCCCTTTATTACTTGTATTTTGTCTCTGTGCAATATTGGAAGATTTTAGCAAATTGAGTTTGACCCCATGACGAGATGAAAATGTACATTATAATAGAATTATTCTTTAATTTTTAATTAAAATTGATGAAGGAGAAACTGTGGATTTCATTTGACAAGTTCTGTAGTTTATGCTCAGGTATGCATGTGTTAAATATTTCATATCCTCATTACCTTCTCAGGCAAAATATTGATAGCCTTTACACCAGCAATAGAAATTTTATTTTTGCTCAATCTCTTAGATTCTAGTCTATTTTTAATATGTTATTTTCCTTGTTTTCACTGTAGTACATGGAAACTGACACTCTGTAGGGATTTTAATATTCTATTGGACCACAGAGCTCTTCTCTATTTTCAAGAATACATCTTTGAAGAATACTTAAATTGATTCTTGTACTAAAGACAGTTTCAGTCTTTAGTTTCACATGCAGCAAATCTCATATTCATATTGTCCACATACACTAATCTTCTAGGTTGATAAGTGGTTTCATTCCTGTAGATTAATATTAATTAACCTCCTGGAAAGTGAGCTTAATCTGGCTTAATATTCTGAGCACAACTTTTTATTTCACTTACTTGAATGCTACAGACTTTATCACATATTAAAAAGTGATGTTAGTTGGGAATTGGTTTATGTTGTTTCTGGCCCTCTACAATAAAGCATTCCTGAACCATACTTCTTAATATCTGAGGAGTTTCTATGCATACTTGTTCATGCACCAGCTGTCACTCAACCCTAGTTCCCAGAATTGCTAAAATATCCGATATTCAAATCATTAGGAATTAGGAGTCCTGTTTTCAGATCTATGTGTTAAGATCTACTCATTCATATACATTTCAGAAATTGTTGTCCATTTTAATATTAAACCTATGCCCTTAATTTCTACATAGACAAGAACTTATAGTATGATCAGATATCCAATCACTGCTGAAGTCCAAATATAACTTATATGAAATACAATCATCTGAAGACAATATTAACTCACAGAGGTAGAAGTTAATGCTTTGGGCCTTTGCTTTCTGTTTTAAAATCATACACTTGCTTTTCCTTTATAAAATAATTTTGTCTCTCTTCTGTCTTTGTTAGCCATGAATTTGACTCTGAGCATGTCCCCGACTTGACAAAAGAACCATATGTTCAAGACATCCATTCCGTGGGCTCCCTCTGTAAGCTTTATTTCCGAGAGCTCCCAAACCCCCTGCTCACCTACCAGCTGTATGAGAAATTTTCAGTGAGTACAAGTCACTTGTAAATCAAGTTCTGTTTGGAGTTTTGTTGTGGTTTTGTTCAAAACGTGTAAAAATTGATTTGGTCATGTAAGAAATGATTCTATGACTACAATGATTCCATGAAAGGAAACAAAAAATCAAAAAGGATTCATTGCTAGCTAGTCCATAGTCTTTGCTGTTTTCACATTTTCATTCTTTTAGTTTTTGACTTTGAGCCACTAATCTTATCACCTGTAATATTGTTTGCCATAAAGTTTTAAAAACGATTATCATTTAATAGATTTCAATGTCCATATAGTGTGGATATACAGTTTACTTCCTTGATACTGTATGGTGTTTCGTCGCTGTTCAGCATCAAAGAGTAGATAGAGTGAATTATCTCAGTGAAAACTAAAGTGTAAGTGAAGAACTTTCATTTTTACCAACAAAGCCCACTAGTTTATTTCATATTATGATTGTTACAGGATGCTGTTTCAGCAGCAACAGATGAAGAAAGGCTGATAAAAATTCATGATGTCATCCAACAACTCCCCCCTCCACACTACAGGTAAATAAACCTCATGTTGTAAAATACCAGATGTCAGTTGATATGTAAAAGTGCTTTTTTTCTTTAGGTTTCTTAACTATTTAAGTTTTCTTGGAGATACCAACTATTTAAATTTCCATCTGTCCGTACATTTATATTTATATTTTTTTATATCCTCAGGGCCTGGCACAGGGCTTGGCATCCAGTAGGCATTTAATAAATGTTGACTGGGTGGATGGATGGATGGATGACTAAACCTGTTTGTTTGTGTGCATGTTTGTTTTTTTGAGACACAGAAATATTGCTGGACGTACTAGGGTGTATGCCCACTAGTGTGAATACTTGTGAATTGCTTGAATCTAAAATATGGACACACTGCTGGGTGCCTGTTGACTTGTTTCCTTTTTTCTAACTCTCTTGTTTTTCAAAAGGTGTCCAAGCCACGTAGAACCACAAAGTCTAACAGTTGTCTCAATTCTTCCTCATGAGACTCTCAGAAGATCTATAACTCTGCTTTTTATTTCAGTTTGTTTTAGGTTTTGTTATTGTTTGTTGGTTTGTTATTACTACTTTTTAAAACCCAGTTTAATTTGTATGTTACTTTGGAGTCTTAGAAATACTTTTGCTTGTATCTGAGAAGACCAGAACGAAATTGGTGAAAGAAAACAACAAATTATGGGTTACAGTATGCAAAAAAGTAATAGGTAAAATTTTTAAATTTTAGTTGACAGAAATTAAATTCAGTCAATGTTTTAGTAATACACAAATTAAGTAATTTAGTGCTGATTTTTTTTCAAAATCACATTGTTCATGTATTTTAAAAATTAGCATTAAATTTGACACTAAATCACTAAAATTTCTACTCAATATTAAAAATCTACACATATTTTTAGTCAGCACTATAGCTATAAACATGATTTTCAAGAGCCAGAAGGTAGCTTAGCAATGACTCATTGTCCTATTAATGTAGCCTATGAGGAATGTGAGGAAATTAAAGAGGTCTTAAGGACCCATGAAGACATATATATGATAGAGTCTCTTACTGATGTTCTCTTAATTCACCCATAAGGTCAGTTCTCTCTGTAAAATGCAATGGCTGGTGTCCAAGGCACAATAAGTTTTCCTGGCTAGTAGGCTTCTTTGTGGTATCCCTGAATACTTCGACTAACATGTGAATTACAAGCTTACCTAAAAGCAATTTAAAGTGTTTCTGTAACTGTATGCAAGGTTATTTTCATTCATAATTAAGTTAAGTGCTATCAACATTTATAAAGCACAGTTTTTTAAATAAGGATTTTTCTTTCTTGCATCTATGAAACCCCAGTTGAATACTTTACAGGCCTTGAAAAGGCAAGCTGCCAAATGAGGGAGAAACAAACACTGTGATGAGCAAAGAACAATTTAAACAAAACAAAACTTATAATTATCAATAGTATTCTCATAGGAATATTATGCATATTAAAGGAAAAAGTACTTAGAACAAGGCCTGTTATTAAGTGCTATTTATATGAGTTAATTACCATTGTTACCTGTTATGTATATCCATGCATTTACTTCATTGTTTTATCTATACATACACACACAGAAACATAAGTGTATGTCTCACACACACACACACGTGTATATCTCCTGTATTGGTAATATATACCTTTTTTACTATTTTATGTTTATCTACTCTACTACAGTTAAATATATTTCTCCCACCATGGTATATATTCTTCTTTATTAAATACAGATATTTTATAGATATTTCCCCTACTAATTGCATGTAGCTCCCTTGATACCTATTTGATCTTTCCTATTGAACATTACATACCTTTCCTGCTGTGTATTATATATTGTACATATATCCTACTATATGCTTCTTATAAATACACTGTATTACCTGTTTTATATATAACCCCTCTAAAACACAAGCTTCTTGAAGTCATGAATTCTGTTTTGTTAGTTACTATATTCTCAGAATAAAACATTACATATAGTAAATGTTCAATAATATATATTACATGTACATTTTGTATATTTCGTACACTAAGTGTTTTTTGGTTTTTTTTTAAGATTTTATTAGGGAAGGGGAACAGCCAAGTTGTTGTCCTTCAGTCTTAGTTGTGGAGGGCGCAGCTAGCTCAGCTTCAAGTCCAGCCGCCATCTGGCCGTCCCACGGCAGCTTGCGGCTGCTCAGCGGAAAGTGCCGCGTTCAATCTTAGTTACCCCATGCGGGAGTTGAATCCAGCAGCCCACGCGGGAGTGGAGCCCAGCAGCCTTGTTGTTAAGAGCGCATGCTCTAACCACTGAGCCATCCAGTTGGCAGCTCAGCTCAAGGTGCCAAGTTCAGTCTTAGTTGCGGGCAGGCATAGTCCATCATCAAACAGGCAGTCTTGTTAGGAGCACGTGCTCTCACCAGCTGAGTCATCCTGCCACCTGTTGGCAGCTCAGCTCGGGTGCAGCGTCACTGGCACGTGAATCGAACCAGTGGCCCTGTTGCTCAGAGCTCACGCTCTTAAGCTAACTCTTAACCAACTGAGCCACTCGTCCGGTCCCTCCCCCCTCACCCCCCCATAAAAACATGATTTTTAATAATGTTCTTTCTTGTGAGTGGGCCATGTGTTATTTAACCTTTCCCCTAATTAACTATAATCTACATGATCAGGGGTTTTTTTCCCCCAATTTTAAACATTACTATGACGACCACCCATTTAAATAAATCTTTTGGACAATCTAGATTATTTTTTAGTATAAAGACCTGACAGTGGACTTTTTAGAAATTAAAAGATACTAAAATTTTCTTCTCAACATACAGCAATTTCCAAATTGTATTCCATGAAGGTTTATGCAATTTGCACTGCGCTGAATATGAAAATGCTCATTTGATGACTCTGACTAAAATTCTCCATTAGCTTTTAAAAGCATCTTTATAATTAGATACGTGAATAATAAAATGGTATCTTTGGTTCTCTTAATTTGCATTTCTAATAAAATACATTTCTGAAGTATTTAATCTTTCCTTCATCTACCTCCCTCACTCCTATGAAATTTTACATTAGTTTCTAAACACATTTATTTCTCAAGCTTTTTCACCTCTACATTGTCTCCAGGTCAGCCTCACTCCTGTCTGTCTTTCCTTATTTAACCATGTACAATAGGGACAGAGAAGGACCATTTTTACCATACAGAAGCTACAGTAGATTCTGTTAAATGAGCAGATACTTGGAGATAAGCTGACCCTGATTTGAATCCCAGCACTGCTTGTCTGTGTAACCTGGGCAAACCTTGGCTTTCTCCTCCATAAAATACTTTATTTCCAAAAATACTCTGCCCTGTTTTTTGTTAGTTTGTTTGTTTTTCTTTCTTGTTTTTAAATGTTGCTTCCAAGGCAGCTGGTGAAGTATATGCACTATTATACTACCCTTAGTTTTTCCTAAATCGCACACTTTAATTAACCCTTGCTGGGGCTTTGAAAGAACTTAGTTGGCTTGCAGGGATTGGAACATATAACAGTCAGAAAAAGGCTATGTCTCAGTTGTTTTCACTCTGAGGACTTATAAAATGGAAGTTATTGCTTTGTTTCCTTCATTGAAGCCCAGAGCTACATGTAGATTCCTATTTGGAACTGGCAGAAGTATCTTTGAATGCTTAAGTGAGGATTGCAGGAAGGTATTTAAGCAGCAGGTGAACGTGGGTATTTAGTACATTCACCTGTGTCTTTAGGTTTACAATAAGAGTTGGACTCTTAATGGCTTGTTTTAGCTTTCTCATTGAGGATGGGAAATATTTTGACATGAATTTAATATGCAAACTTTCCGTTGGGGGGAAATTTTTTGAAATCAAGACCCCTTAAGAAATTTCCAGATATTTTCTGTTTTGTCAAACATAATCCTGAGAAGCACAGTCCATGTGCACATTTTATTTTCCATAGGCAAAGCAGCTCACAGACACTTATTGAAAACCAATGATATACATAGATCAAAGATATAGGTAAACACTTGCGTGTCTTCAGCATATAATAATTCTCAGGATAAAGCCAAGATTGAGTGAGTTCACCAAAGGAATGAGACAGAGACAATCACAGGGTCAAGACCTGGTGTGCTGAAAATCTAGAGGAAAAGAAACTAGCAAAAACGATTGAGTAGGAGGTAGTGGGGTGCCCAGGAAAGAGAGGTGAGGAAAATCAAGGGGGGCATTTCAGAGAGTGGTCAATAATCTCAGTTATAGAAATATAAGGAAAAAAGGGCTAGAGAAAAGGCAACCATTGTAAATATAATAAAAATGGGAGTGACAGGTTTTCTGTGCTTCACTTTTAATTTGTATCAAAAGCTTACTCAAGGTCCTTTTACCTAGTCTGTCAGTTATTTATTGCAGGGTAAGAAGCCAAGCCAGTGGTTTAAAACTATAATAACTGTGTATTTGCTCACAATTCTGTGCATTGGCAATTTGGGCTTAGGATTCTGTACCCAATTATAATGTGTGGGTTTTCTCCCACACCACCAAGCAATTCTTCTGCCCTGTTGTTTTATATCCACCTATTTCTATCTCTGACTCTGTCTGTCTGTGTGTATGTGTATGTGTATATATTTGTTTGTTTAAATAAAATAAACTAGAACATATAAGATTAAGCAGGATAATTAGGAATTAGAGTAAGCTTTCTAGTCTAAATGCACATTATTTGCTCACATAATCTCTGTTTTGATGCCTGCTGAAATTTTTCTTTTAATTCTTGTTAGGCTTGTGAAACATCGTTGGTTTCTTACTAGAAGAAAAGATTAAATTCTTACCTGTTAGCTTGCCTGCTGCAAGTAGAAGAGCATAACTTCACAATATCATTTGTCTAGAAACTGGCTTCTGTGGAGGATTCACTTCACTGGTATTCTTGAAACTAGACGTCTGACAGCCAGGAACAAATATTCCTAAAGATTTTTTTTTTTTTTAACTAAGGCTATTTTCTCAGAACCAGTCCTGTCAGAAACTTATTTCTTGCTATATCTGCCTTAGACTTTTTTTCTTAGTATTCTGTAGGTGTAATTGTTATATATAGAATTTCGAACTCATAATATTTTCTTTTCACAGTTTTGTAGTAATAATTCAAACCTAATAGGCAGCACAAAAATTTGCTAGCGTTTGTATGGTGATTTTTCCATTTTGCCACTGAAAACTTCCAAATTAATTAGTGGAGTTTTTATGCTCTATACTGCTACATAATGTTTCTTTTTGTTAATATGTTGTATTTCATTTTCCAGAACACTGGAGTTCCTAATGAGACACTTGTCTCTTCTAGCTGACTATTGTTCCATCACAAATATGCATGCAAAAAACCTAGCAATCGTTTGGGCTCCAAACCTGCTCAGGTAAGTTGCATTTGACTTATGACTTAAATAGAAGCAGTCATCTTAAATAAAAATCTAATTCATCAGTGTTCCTTAAGGACAATTTTTAAAAGTAAAACTGATACGTTGTTTTTACGAGCATCTTCCCAAAACTGGCAATTGGGGCTTCATCAAGGCATTGTTAAAGTATGCTTTCTTCCTCTGGGTTGTCTGGGATTTACACATTTAAAAAAAAAAATGCCTTTTAACACTATCTTTGGAACTCTCTGATGGTCATTTTGTTTTTCCCACAGATCGAAACAGATAGAATCCGCCTGCTTCAGTGGAACAGCAGCTTTTATGGAAGTGAGAATTCAGTCGGTGGTTGTTGAATTCATCCTCAATCATGTAGATGTCCTCTTCAGTGGGAAAATCAGTGCAGTCATTCAGGAAGGCGCAGGTATGGCTCACATTTACTTTACTTTACTACTAGGAACATGCATCTGAACTTCTAAAGGAATGGAAAACTGCATTTCTTATCTCAGTGGAATAAATCTGCCTTGGGTAGAAAGCAGCTAATTTATGTCTTTCCCAAAATGCACAATTTAACAGTTATTTTATGTATCCTTTTTTTCTTCTTAAGTAGGTTATTTTTTTATTTTATTTTATTGGGGAACAGTGTGTTTTTCCAGGACCCATCAGCTCCAAGTCAAGTAGTTGTTTCATTGTAGTTGTGGAGGGCGTACTTCAGTGGCCCATGTGGGAATCGAACCAGCAACCTTGGTGTTAAGAGCACTGCGTCCTGTGCTTTAACCACCTGAACTAACCGGCTGTCCTCATAGTAGACCTTTTATGATCTAAGTTCATGACACATTAAAAAATATATCGTGTTACCTATTATTAGTGTATATAAAGGTGTAATATGTAGCAGAAGCAGAAAGATTCTTCCCGAAAATAAAAATATCTGAGTGATTTTTTTTGGCACCCTCTGTGTACATGTGTATGTATCACTGTTAACAAACAACCTGGCATGTCACCTTCTATTCCTCACTAAGTATAAAGCCCTGTTATTTTTGCCGTTTAAAAAACTTGAAGAAAATTTAAAACAACACAGGTAGATAGACAGATAAACATTTTGATATACACACATTCACACATATTTATACTTTTTCCTCATGAAGAAAGTTTGACTCTCTTCATTGTTTTTTTCTTTCTTTCCAAAGCTTCTCTATCAAGACCCAAATCTCTGCTGGTTTCCTCTCCATCTGCCAAGCTGCTGACATTGGAGGAAGCCCAGGCACGAACACAAGCTCAGGTCAATTCTCCAATTGTAACTGAAAATAAATATATTGAAGTAGGAGAAGGACCAGCTGCACTGCAGGGAAAATTTCATACCATAATTGAGTTCCCGCTTGAAAGGTAAAATTCGTTAAATCCTCATAAATGTGATTTCATGGCTATGCATGCTTTTATTTTATTTTTACTTAGATATTTTAGTGTTACTATATTCATTCTGGGCCAATCTCAGAAAAACCCGTTCATTTGACTGTGGATGATACTTCACAGGGAACGATAAAAAGGATCCTTGAAAAGCATTACACCATGTCGTTTTAAAGAAGAAGAAAGTCAGTTGTACAGGGAAAATTGTTAGGGGAAAAAAAGGTGATTTTTCTCTCTGAGATACATTGTTTATGAAATTATTGTTCTGAAATTTGTTCAGAAATAAACTGTTGGAACGGAACGGCTTATTCAAAAGGTAATAAATGGATAATGACTTTGACATTGGTTCCACATAAACTTTAGAATAGACTGGTGCTTCTCACAGTGTGAACTCCCAACCAGCATTACCTGGAAGTCACCAGAAATGCTAATTCTCAGACACTGTCCCAGAGCCACTGAATCAGAAACTCTGGGGGTGAGGTCCAGCAATCAGTCTTTTATCTAGCCTTCCAGGGGATTCTGACACGTGCTAAAGTTTGAGAACCACTTCAGTTGACTCTGTCAGTGTCCCTTACAGCTCTGAAATTCTGTTTCTCTAAAGAAATGATAATAACATGGTTTCTGTGTCTTCTTTACTAAGATATGGTAGGAAGACTAATGTATATAAGCTAATTTTGATATCTCTGTTACTCCTTTGGCTATTACACATGAATGTCAGGATTTCAATTCCATGGATTGGTTAGTGTTAATAAAACTTGAGAATTTATTCTTGACATATTTTAGTATATCTCGCTAACTTCCTTTTACTTCCCATGACTAAAAATGTCTTAACAGCAAAATGTTAGAACATGCTTTTACTTTGTCATTCTGAGTTTGTCTTCAGCTACTTGAATTTATATTTTAGCTCCATAATTTTCAAAAAATTTTCTCTTTTATATAAAATAGTAATCAAGAGAATAGATACTGTGACACAGATGGACCTGGCTTCCAACCCTGACTTTCATCATTTACTAGTTTTATAACATTAAGGAATTTACTTAAACTTCTTGGTGTTGTAATTTCCTCAGCTGAAAACTACATAAAGCAGTTGACAAAGTGCCTGGCATTCAATATATATTATTTTTACTTCATTTTTGGCTTAATTCTCTTTACTCACATGTAAAATCATTGTCTTTAACTCTGTTTTATTTTTGGAGTTTTAATATTGCCCATTCCTAAATATGTCTTATTCTCACATACATCTCAGATTGTGATGTTAAATCTAAATATGAAAATCTGTATAAAAATTATTTCTGTGAAACAAGTTACTAATATTAAAATACATATATTTTAATTTTCATTTCATGCTTTAGCTATACAGTTTACTGCACTGTGTTATAGTATGCTATATGGACGGTGGATGTGTACTATTTCAGCTATGCCTCTCCTAGCTGTTTGGTCCTTTCCATCATTTGTTCATTTTTTATAAATAAAGATAGCCCCTTAGATATCTTAATACAGATTATTTTCTCTCATAGGAGGAGGCCTCAAAATAAAATGAAAAAATCTCCTGTGGGCAGCTGGCGTTCCTTTTTCAACTTGGGGAAATCATCATCTGTTTCTAAACGGAAGTTGCAGCGTAATGAGAGTGAGCCTTCAGAGATGAAAGCCATGGCTCTGAAAGGTTAGTACCTTCACACCTTCCCTGTGTGCTGCTGCTGCAAAAGCAGTTTGCATGGTAGCTTCACACTTTCCATGCTGTCATGACGGCTCTCCTCTTACTCTGGATACGGACTCAGTGTATTGTTATAATGTGCTTCAATGTGCTGTGTCCATGGTTGTGTTGCTACATGTGAATTGTCTTTACCAAATCCTTATCCCCAAATACATAAACTATATGTAAATATGTAGAATACCTAATTTCTTAGGGGAACAGTATAGATTATATATTTTGTGAACATGGTTTAAAATTCATAAAATATTTATAACATCGTTTATATATTGTTGGTAATAAAAAACTGCTGTAGCGTTTAAATTCATTAATCTATATTTTTATAGATATAAAAAATGACAAAAGCATGTTTTAACACTCCTTTCAAGTTTTTAACTTTTATGACCAAAGAAGCTAACTTTTCCCTAGATGACTCATTGATGAGAGTATCTTATTGGGTCAAATAAATCTGTTACTGTTGTTGAAAATGCTCCTCTTAAAAATAGTTTCAAACCCATGTTCTACTGATATTAACAGCTTCTGAATCAGGAAGGATAGTAGTGTTTTCTTCTGAGGTAATGTAAATACAATGTTCAGTTCATTGAATTCCTCATTCATTCAGTTTGCAATCATGTCAGGTACTAAGCATGTGCTATATGTTTTGATAGCAGTCTCCGCAGATAGAAAGAAAATTAAGACACTGCTCCTGCCTTCAGAATCTTAATTTGGGAAGTCATATGTAAGAAAATAAATTTCATGCACAATCATAACTATTGAAATAGAGGTTTGTGTGAGATAATTATGGTAGGAATTATCAGTCATGTGGGGAGAGGAGCTCGGGGTCAGAAAATAATAACCTTTGACTTGGGTTTCGAGGATAAGTAGGGATTCCCATTCAGGAAGTGGGAGCAAAGTGTGCTTGTGTGTGAAACGGAACCATAAAGAACTTGGCTGTGCAGTATGGTACAAGAAGAGGTTCAGGTCGTTAGGGGCCTTGTATGCGTGCCAAAGAGTTTTGGTTTTCGTCTTGTATTCCTTGGGTGTTATTCAGTGGCTTCAGTATGTAACATGATCAAGTTTGGGTTTAAGAAAGATGACTTCGACAGTGTAAGGAATATATGAAAATAAAATAAAACTGGAGACTGGACAATAATAGGAGACAGTTAACCATCATACAGGCAAGAAACAGTGAGTGTCTGGAATAAGCAGTGGGAGTGGGAAATATATTTGAGAGATATTTAGGAAGCATAATCTACAGTGCTGGGTGACCAAATGATTATGAAGGATGAGAAAAAAGGAGGAGGAAAGATAATTTTCAGGTTTTGAGTAAATGACAAGGGAGGGAAGAAAAATACTGTTTATTTTGGACATAGTGAGTTGGAGATGTCCAAGAGATGATTAGTAATATGAGTCTGGAATTCAATAAAGGTGTTTAATATAACTAGGAATACAGACTTGAAAGTTATCAGCAACAACTAAGGGTGAAAATCCTAGAGATAGATTTTTGGCCCAAGGAGAGCACATTGAGTGAGAGAAGCAGGTTAGGGGCTGAATCCTAGAGAAAATCAGTGTTTAAAGGACTGGAAAAAGCAGTATTGTCATAAAAGGAGAGCAGTAGCTGGAACGGCAGGCAGGGAACCAAAGAGACGAGTGCTATCCCTGGAAATAATGGAGTGGGGGCTCGGAAAGTGTCGGCAGTGTTGAGCGCTGCCCAGAGGTGACGGGATGAAGACACTGAACACACCAGATTCAACATGTATAATTAAAGTTCCTGTGTTGGTTTCTTAGGGCTGCCATAGCAGATGGCCACAAATTGGGTGGCTTAAAACAAAAGAAATTTATTTCCTCACAGTTCTGGAGGCTAGAAGTCTGACATTCAGGTGTCAGCAGAGCCGTGTTCCCTCTAAAAGATCCAGGGAAGAGTCCCCCTTTGCCTCTTCCAGCTTCTGGTGCTCCTTGGCATGTGGTGGGATCACTCCAGTCTCTCTCTGCCTCAGTCCTCACATGGTATTCTACTCTCTCTGTGTCCTCTCTCCTTAAAGGGACACCAGTCATTGGATTTAAGTATGACATCACCCTAAATCCAGTATGACATCATACTAGTCTTTAGGAAATATAAACGAAGATGTTTTTAAATTCATCTCTATTCTCAAGTTTCTAATCCTTTAGAAAAGAGATTTTTCACATAGGAAACCATTTGAGAACAATATAACACGTTATATAATATGATGCCAAATTGAATATGATTGTCAAAATGTAAGGTTAATTACTCTTGGAAGTTTAAATATGTGTAGAGAAAACACTGCTTCTTTTCACTACATATATAACAAACTTCACACTATTTGGTTTTGATTCTTAAGGTGGCAGGGCAGAAGGAACCCTCCGTTCAGCCAAAAGTGAAGAGTCTCTTACTTCTCTCCATGCAGTTGATGGTAAGATTAAAAGCATTAATCATTTTATTCTATAATATGTTTCATAAAAGAATATAACAGTTAAGAATGTTTTATAAATATATGTGTAATAGGCTGTAGACCATCATTTTTTAAGAATTCTGGTATCTGTTTAGTATTGTCCATTGATGTTTTAATATGGTACCAGTTTAAAATTTCTTCACTTTTGACACGATTGCTATTTAATTTGCATAAGAACAGGAAAAATGTTAACCATTATGTTTATTAGTGCACAGTGGAAAATTGTATTATTAGTATTTCTTTCTTTAGATTTCACAATGAGAGCACAATGTTGCAAAGCATAAAATTAAGCAGTTTTGATATTCAGACCAGTAGTCTTGTCCTGAAAATGGCTTAACCTGATGTTAAATTTCATAGGTCAGATTGATTATAGGCCATCCTCATTATCTGAGGACAGTTAGTACCAGGAGAAAACAACTTAAAGTGAACCTGTTTAAAATGGGGACCAAAATTTTATGCGAAATAGTGTAAAAGGGTTTGACTGTAACTTGAAAAGCAAAAATTTAAAAATTATAAGTTTGCTTTAGCTTCTATTTAGTAAAATTCAGGTAATAGCTGTAACTGTGTACTAATTTTCAGAATGAACAAAGGATTACTTCAGTATTGACTTGGAAGGAAATAAAACGTTTTTGACAATACCATGTAATAGCAAATAGGGCATCCTTTATATCATGTTTGGCTTGTGCAGCAGGATGTAAGGAAGGCCCTTTTTACAAAAATAATCAAGAGCTACATTGATTTCCCAAGGGCTTTTCTTAATCTGTTGTTCAAGTCATGCTCTCTTGAAGTATCCTGGGATGTCATCTTCCTGGTCAACTTTCTCATCTTCATTTATTAACTCTTCTAACTGCCACATCCTCATTGACCAGTGGCTGTGCTTATGATTGAAGAAATCCTTGCATCTCCCTTTTGTTGGATGTTTAACATCTTAGGGGTTTTCCAAGATTTTCCATTTCACAGCAGTTAAGAGAATGCTTCATAAAACAATGCAGTTGCTAGGTAGATGCTAGTATTAGGCAGAAAAATAATTTGACTACGGATTAATTTTACAAGTGGCCAATGCATTAGTGAATGTATTTATGTTAAGACAATTTCTGCCTCTTTATAGTACATTTTCACTATGGCAATTCTAATAATTGTAATTGAATGCTGAGATAGAGTACTTTTACCAGTTGGATGTTTAGCAATGTCATAAGATTATGTAATATTCAACAACTTTTGAGGACTGCCTGAGAAACTTAAAGCCTATTGTTAAGGAAAAACATGAAATAATTTTTGTTAAGTATCTGAAAGGAATCTCTTACTAAATATATGTTAATACTTTATGGGATTGTAGAGATTTTTTTAATTGAGAAATTAATTTTTTTTAGAAATTTGAATGTTAGGAGGATTTTTCCCTACCAAAAAACAAAAAACTTTTGCTGCTGTATATCCAAAGTACTATTTAAAGTGATTATTAAGAATTCTACCTAAGAAGTCATATGTGGTGTCAGTGATAAAATAAGAGAGAAAAACGAAAAGCTTGCCTAAAGTCACAAGAGTCAGTGTTGGACCAGTAATAGAATCTAGGAGTTCTGAGTCTTTTTTTCACATTGAAACCATCAACTGCTGCATTCTCCCTGTGGTTATGTCAGATGTGTTCGTTATTTAGCGTTTGGTTTGGGAGTTCCACCTGGGTGCCCCAAGCCACAATTATCTGAGAGAAGATGAGAAGTAACATTTTCTTACCCCATATGTACTAAGTAGGTGACTTGTGGTATTGTGACCTTACGACATTCATAATCAGGTGTTGTTGTCCATTTCACCAGGTGATTCCAAGCTGTTCCGACCCAGAAGACCCAGATCTAGCAGTGATGCCCTGAGTGCCTCTTTTAATGGAGAAATGCTGGGGAACCGCTGTAATTCCTATGATAATCTGCCCCACGACAATGAAAGTGAGGAGGAAGTGGGGCTGCTCCATATTCCAGCTCTGGTGTCTCCTCATTCAGCTGAGGATGTTGATTTGAGCCCACCGGACATTGGAGTAGCCAGCCTGGATTTTGATCCTATGTCATTTCAATGTAGTCCTCCGAAGGCCGAATCGGAATGTCTGGAGAGCGGTGCTTCCTTTTTAGATTCATTAGGATACTCCAAGGATAAACCAAGTACCAGTAAAAAGGATACGGAAGCGGGTGGTAGCCAGTCTCAGACTCCAGGAAGCACTACAAGTTCTGAACCTGTCTCTCCTCTTCAGGAGAAACTGAGTCCATTCTTTACCCTGGACTTGAGCCCAAGTGAAGAGAAATCATCTAAGCCAACATTCACCGAAAAGGTTGTCTATGCTTTCTCTCCAAAGATTGGACGGAAATTAAGTAAATCACCTTCTATGAACATATCTGAGCCAATTTCAGTGACCCTTCCCCCTCGGGTGTCAGAAGTCATTGGTACAATCCCTCCTCCAGCAGCCCAGACTGCATCTTCTCCAACCTGGAACAGAAGTGTCGATGAAGATGTTGTCATAAATAGATCCCCCACCCAGGTAGGAAAGCTGAAAACAAATGCGGGCGAGGCCCAGGAAGGATGTGAGTCTGAAGCCCAGCCCCTGGAGCAGGCGGCTGCTACGCAAGTAGAGTCTCCAGGGAACGAGGAGCAGCCCGTCTCGAGCAGTCAGAGTAAGGCTGTGCCTTCCGGCCAGACTCAGACAGGTACCATTTGTTTTCCTCCATTCTTTCTTTAAGCTAAGAGGGATCTGCAATCCTGTGTGCCATCTGTGCCTTTTAAGAGAGAAATTCACTCCGCAGCTAGCCTTTAATCAAAGAGAATGTGTTGCTTGGTGGTGCCGATGGCTCAAAGCCCTAAATTAAAATCAATCAAACAAAATCCCCCGAAGGGCCAGTTGTCCTGCTTCCAAGCTCCGTAAAGTCCCCTGTCTCTTTGGACAGACAGAATTCATGGATAATTCTTGCACAACTTCGTAGCTCTTGATTCTGTTTTCTCTTCTAATAAAATATCTATGTTATATCCTTACAAGTTAACCAGCCAGCCTACACCATCAAATGTAAAAACTATGCTTAACCGTCTGCAAGCACTTGAAGCTTGTTTTCTAAGCAATCTTTTCTGAGCCAGATGAGGGGCCTGCTTTCCCCCCATCTCTGTAGCAATGCAAGAGGAGATTGCAATCCTTAAACACTGTTTTAGTTTTCCTTCTGAACCAGATGTGTTCTCTACAGCATTTGCATGTGGGATAGAAGATCATGGATTGCCGTTTTGAAATGTGGAAGGCACCTATTTTTTAGTGATCAAATGGGGAGTGTTTGGCTTTCCGTACAGGATAACACAAGCTACCTTTTCACTCTCATTTTTTTTCCCAATTTCCCACCAGGAGCAGTTGCCCATGACCCCCCTCAGGATTCCGTTCCTGTCAGTTCAGTCTCTCTTATCCCACCACCGCCGCCTCCGAAAAATGTTGCCCGCCTGTTGGCGCTGGCATTAGCTGAGTCTGCACAGCAAGCCTCAACTCAGTCATTGAAGAGACCAGGGACTTCCCAGGCTGCTTATTCAAATTATGGAGACGTAGCAGTGGCTGCAACAGAAGATAAGCTGCCTAGTTCTTACTCTCATGTTACTCTAGACAAAGCCTATTTCCCAACTGATAGGCCTGCAGAGCAGTTCCACCTCCAGAACAGTGCACCTGGAGACTGTGACCAGCCTATACCAGCCACGGCAGCTATTGGGGATCTTACCCATTTCAGTGCTGCAACTGAGTCTGGGGAGCAGCTCCACCAGGCAGACTTCCTAGGGAATCAGCCCCATGAAACCTATTTATCTGGGGACCCAGAAAAGGCCAGAATCACTTCAGTTCCCTTAACAAACTCTAAGTCTGCTGATCACATAAGTTTCCCTGAAGACCAGCCTGGAAAGATTGTCACCTTTGCAGATCAGGACCAATCTCAACTTCATTTCTACAGTGGAGATCAGCCTCCTTTTCTTGGTGCAAGTGCGGATAAGCCCCATCACTCCTCAGAACTTGCCGACAAGTCTACACCTAATTTGCCTAGGGACAAAGCCTACCCTCCTTCTGGGTCCCCCGAAGAGAAGAGCAGCACAGCCACCATGGCTTATGTGACGACTGCTCCAGCAACAGCTGAAATGAGCACCAGGGAAGCCACCTGGGATGTGGCTGAACCACCCACCGCTGCTGACTTTGCTGCCGCCACCCTTCAGCGTCCTCATAGAACTAATCGTCCCCTTCCCCCACCTCCTTCCCAGAGATCAGCAGAGCAGTTACCAGTCACCAATGTAGGATTAAATAATTCCCACAAGGTAAGATGGGGCGGACATGAGTGAGAGGAAATACACTTTTTCCAAAGGTATGTCACTTTTCAGCAGGGTAGTTATCTTGCAGTCCTCTGGCAGGTTTCTATGAAACGTGTCCTACTTGCGGTTAGAATCTGCCTTTACCTGGTTGCTGGTTTTTCTCTGAGAAAGGGATAGTTACGCAATGACTATGGTTTATCTATACTTGCCGTCTGCCTAGAGCACTTAGGTAGTTTCTCCGTAGCAATACCAAGAGATCGTGATCAAGTGAGTCATACTGAGTTTAGGTGTCAGGGTTGCATGGTTTTGTTTTTTTCCCCATCTCCATCACTGACTAATTGTGACTTTGGGCAAGTCATTTAACCAACCCCTGCCAGTTACTCACATCTGCCTAATGCAAGTGCTTTGGTCCTAAGACATTTCTAAGACTGTCGGCCTTGCAGACTTTTTAGATATGTGGGGTCACAGTGTCTTAGGACTTTTTGTTATTTTTCTCAACACTAACCAGGTGGTTCTGTAGTCAAGCACCTGTTTGGATGAGAGAATGTTGTATGTGGAATGCTAGTTTCTTCCTAATTTTCTCATGTTTTAAAAAAAGTGCCCTAGGTGTTTTGTGGTCGCCTTAAACTAAAAGTACTTCAATATCTAGTCTTCAGTGGAGGACACTATTTCCAGTAGCTCCTTCTCAAGGACGCCATTTTTGCAGGATTGCTATGAGGATCATGTTTGGTCTCTACTGCTGCAGACCAGGGTGGAGTAGAAGGCAGGGGAGACAGGAACTGAATGAGTCGAATGTCACCTTAGACAAGTCCCTTTATTGCCCTTCCCTAAATTTGGGGGCTCACAGGGTCTCACTGTGTGCAACTGTGAGTCACCTCAAAAATCTCTCCTGATAGAATCAACTCTCTCTGTTTAACAAAATGTTCTTGATGTTGAGCCTGAGCTAGACAGATAGACTGTGTATATATTTTTAAGCTTGACTGTTATTTGACTAAACCTCTATTTTGGTCTGTGTACATTAAGATAATGTCAGAGGCAACCTCATCTAACATTTAAAACCTGTCATAAATTAAAGCAGTTCTCCAAATTTGGCAATGGCTGTTACACCAGATAGCAGCATAGGCCATTTCCTGGCCGTGGGGACAGGTTGGCCTGTTGTCCTGTCCGGGGCAACCACGTGGCTTAGGAACTTTCAAGCTGCTACCCAAATAGCTTCACCTTGTGAGTTACAGATTTACAGTGTTTAATTCCATAGAGGGGAGCATGGGAAATCAACTCATAATTTTATCATCTTTCAATAGGTTCCAGGAGTAGTTCCAGTTCCAGAGAGACCACCTGAACCCAGAGCTGTGGATGATCTTGCTCCTGTTTTTGTGAGTGATGGCAGTGCAGCTGTTCCGTGTCCCATCTCTACTTCTGCTGTCCAGCCAGGCCTCCCTGAAAAGGTGTGGGAAGGTGCCAGGGCCCCACCGCTGCACCTACGTGCTGAGTCTGTCCCTGTGCACACTTCCTGTGGCTTTACTGTGCCAGTTCCCCCCACCAGGACAATGGAGAGTAAAGTGGCTGCCGCCATACACTCCAACAGTGCAGACGGGACCAGTACTCCCAGTTATCATCCCTTTGGCACTGCTTCCTCGGCCTCTGTGGATGATATTTTGCCTTTACCACTTCCTGTTCCACAACTTAAGCATGCGTCTCAGAAAACTACTTATTCCACGTTTGCTAGGCCAGATGTCACCACGGAGCCCTTTGGTCCAGAAAATTGTTTGCATTTCAGTATGACTCCAAACTGCCAGTACCGTCCCCAGAGTGTACCCCCACATCACAATAAATTGGAGCAACACCAGGTGTATGGCTCCAGATCAGAGCCACCAGCCTCCATGGGTCCTCGTTACAACACATACGTGGCCCCGGGGAGAAGTGTGTCTGGACACCACGCCAAGCCCTGCAGCCGGGTTGAGTACGTCTCTTCTTTGAGCTCATCTGTCAGGAGCGGTTGTTACCCTGATGACATTCCGCCATACCCTACCATCCGGAGGGTACAGTCTCTCCATACTCCTCCATCTGCCATGATTCGCTCTGTTCCCATTTCACGGACAGAAGTTCCCCCAGACGATGAACCAGCCTACTGCTCAAGACCCCTGTATCAGTATAAGCCATATCAGTCCTCCCAGGCCCGCTCGGATTATCACGTCACTCAGCTTCAGCCTTACTTTGAGAATGGTCGCGTCCACTACCGGTATAGCCCATATTCCAGTTCTTCTAGTTCCTATTTCAGTCCCGACGGAGCCCTGTGTGACGTGGATACTTACGGCACCGTGCAGTTGAGGCCCCTTCACCGGCTGCCCAATCGCGATTTTGCTTTCTACAATCCTCGGCTGCAAGGAAAGAACTTGTACAGTTACGCTGGCTTGCCTCCCCGTCCCCGGGCCACCATGACTGGCTACTTTTCTGGCAGTGACCATAATGTAGTGAACATGCCCCCAGCTGCAGATGTGAAGCACACTTACACCTCATGGGATTTTGAGGACATGGAAAAATACCGCATGCAGTCCATCCGGAGAGAGAGCCGGGCCCGGCAGAAGGTGAAAGGGCCTGTTATGTCCCAGTATGATAACATGACCCCGGCGGTGCAAGAGGACTTGGGTGGGATCTATGTCATCCACCTACGCAGCAAATCAGATCCTGGGAAAACTGGACTTCTCTCAGTGGCCGAGGGAAAGGAGGGGCGGCACCCAGCCAAGGCCGTCAGTCCCGAGGGAGACGACCGCTTCTATCGGAAACATCCAGAGCCAGAGTTCGAGAGAGCCCACCACGGAGGACATGGCAACGGACAGGCAGAGAAGCCGTCCCTCCCGCAGAAGCAGAGCAGTCTCAGGAACAGGAAGCTTCATGACATGGGTTGTAGTCTCCCTGAGCACAGGGCACACCAGGAAGCAAGCCATAGGCAACTGTGTGAATCCAAAAATGGGCCACCTTACCCCCAGGGAGCTGGCCAGTTAGATTATGGGTCCAAAGGGATTCCAGATGCTTCGGAGCCTGTCAGCTACCATAACTCTGGAGGGAAGTATATCACACCAGGGCAGGAGTCTTTAAGACTGAACCACAAAGAGATGAGGCTCTCCAAAGATCTGGAGAGGCCTCGGGCTAGGCAGCCTCCTGCCCCAGACAAACACTCCAGAGACGGCTACAAGGAGGAGGAACACCTCAGTCAGTCCATAGTCCCACCCCCTAAACCGGAGAGGAGTCATAGCCTGAAGCTCCATCACACCCAGAACGTGGAGAGGGACCCTGGTGTGCTGTTCCAGTACCAAGCACACGGCAAGCGCCAGAGCAGCATGACTGCCGTGTCCCAGTATGATAACCTGGAGGGCTACCATTCCCCGCCCCAGCCACAGCCCCAGCCCCCGCGAGGAGGCTTTGGAGCAGGAGCAATGGGGGCATATGTGCCCTCTGGCTTTCCCCACCCACAAAACAGGACATACGCTACAGCTTTGGGTCAGGGGGCCTTCCTGCCCACAGAGTTATCCTTGCAGCATCCGGAAACGCAGATCCATGCAGAATGAGCCCTGGGAGCAATAGAGTTGAAGCAGCCTCTGCTGGACAGTGGACTGTTCTATTTTTTTCAGTAACCAAAAAGATTTAAAAAAAGGAAAAAAAAAGCTACAAATCCCCTGACCACATTAAAAAATATAATAAGAAAAACAATCACCATCTTATTTCCCTTCCTGTTTCATTACCACCCCTTCCATCTATAGAGACAGTCATATTTGTCCTTAAAAGAGATCTGAATGATTGTAAAGCACTGTGTTGAAAACCTAGTAAAGAAATTTGTCACAGAGCATACTTGCCATATAGAGCTAATTTGTAAGAGCCTGAGGACTGCCTTTACCTGAATTTGAATTTGACTTTGTCCTTCTTAGTATTAGCTGTATAGTGCAGAGCAGTTTACATCTGTATTTCCTGGGAGGCTTTTGCATTTTCTGTTGCATTCCTACTGACTTTTTCAGTAGCCATGACGCTTGCCCAGACCAACACTCCGTTTTTCTCACATCATTCTCCCTGTCTTAGAAGGGTCTTGTGTGTTAAATTAGAACTGAGAAAAACTTCTCCATGATCATTCAGATAAGCCTGTCAGACATTGAGCAAATTATAACTAAAAAATAAAGGAACTACAACTAAGCATTTTGTAGAGTCCTAAAATGTCACACCATTTAGACCCAGGCTGAACCATGTTCTTCACATTCTGATTTTTCATGGCTGTTTCTCACTGTTCAGTGAACAGGCTCCTGTCCCTATAGAAGGATCTGTTAACAGAGTCACAGACGGTTCTCAGGTGAAAGTCAGTGAACTCTGTCAGCACCAAAAAACTAGGTCAGTGCTCCGAACGTGTTGCCTGCCTTCTGTTGGTTCCTTTCTAAATAATATTTGGTAAATTGTAATGCTGGTAAAACATTTCACACCCCTTTTCTCCTAAAGCAACCTTTCTCGTTAAAAAATCCCCCAGCATGGTTTGACTCGATAAACACATAATTTATCATGATTACAAATTTACATATTACTTTCTGTTTCTAAATCACAGTGTACAGGTTTCCTGGGAATTCTTAAAGTAGCTTCTTATTACCTGTTAGTAAAACTGACATTTCCTGCAATAACCTCTTGGTACACAGCCCCGTTTTACCTGTTGGAATTCTGGGCAGTTACTGTTCCCATCGTGAAGAATTAGCGTGCTGTTTGTTCACTCTACTTCTACAATCACAGTCTACTGTAATTGCCATCTACACCAGCATTTCAGGTATAGTTCTTATAACTGTAGACATGTTAAACATGTTCAGTACCCAGGACTTTCCTTTGAAAGTTACATTCCTGATTAGAGTTGGAGCAGACGCCTCTAGCCTAACTCCATTCCATGTTCCCAACTCACCCTGTAACATATATGCCAGACTAGCAAGGCATCCTGCATTTACAAAACAAGTTTAGGTTGTCATTTCATTCCATAACTCTTAACAATACTTGATTTTTGTACATTCACATGTTTTAAATGCTCAGTTTGTAGAAGACACTAGGAGAATTTCATTCCGTTTACTGGATGTTGCTGCTCTGGCTTTTTAAAACTTGGAATTAACTTTTATTTAGAACAAAGGAGGAAATCTTTAAAGAAGCTAAATTTATGCTGCTATTATTGCTGTGAAATTGTATAAAGATTAGGAGTCATGCCAGCTCTTTTTTTTTTTAATTTAAAAAATGTGATTACATTTTAAGGATTTATATTTAGAAAAAGAAATAAAGTTTAAAGAACAACACATTTATTTATATGTGGAACTACTCTATAAGATTTTTTTTTGTTGCCCCCAAATTGATCAGAGGGATTCAATAAAGATCATGGAAAAAAATCCTGAAATACCAATATGTGTAGAGGTCTCTGGAAATTTAGGCCTCTGCATTAAAAGTGCAGGCCCAGCTGGTATGTAGTCAGTTGCCATGTCTGGAAAGCTGGTGGCATACCTCCACTTAGCACACAAACATCAGGTGCCGTATGCAGGAGTTCACTCTTAGGTGAATATGCAGCACTAATTTTATTTTTTTACCTTAACCATCTTTTTGTCAAGTTAGGTAACCCATTGCCCCTTTGAGATCACATAAGCCCTATAAAATTCTCACCAGCAGCATGGCAATTAGAAAGGAGCTGGTATGACAAGGACATACAGATGGCTTTAAGTAACAGAATTTTTCTCAATAATGAATTGTAATTCTAGTGCAACATTTCAGACCATTTGTTCTGAAGCAATGTTTTGTTTTGGTTTTCATTAAAAAACAACAACAGCAAGGATGTGGCTTAAGAAGTCCTGTCCAATTTTAGTATTTGTGGATTTGTCATCACACACATTGTTTACTCCTGAAATTGAAGTCTGTTTTATAAATACTAAGGTTAATTCCTCAAAGCAATTACTTTATTATTTCTGTGGGCTTAGAAATATCAGGTAAATATTTTGAATACAGAATAGTGACTCAAATTACTGGTATAAGTGTGAAACACAAACTTTAGGTAAAATCTAGAGTTGTTACACTTAACTGTATGTAGATACAGCCTTAACTTGGGATTCAGTTTTTTGAAGGACTCTGCCTGTATCTTTCCCTTTCTGATATTGTAGGGTAGAAATTGGATGGCGAATCACTGTGAGCCAGGTTACCTCAGCATAGTTCACCTTGTGTGTGACTTCACAAATAGAGTAATTATATGTTACTATTTCAAATTTTGACGTGGAGCACTATGATCAAGGAAATGGAGCTGCCTTATGCATTAAACCCATAATTCTGTTGGTATTTTCATATTCATATCTCCAGGTATGACCTTTCTGGTAAACTTCCAATGCCACAGTTCGGTTTGATTGAAATAAACACTCCCTGGATGTCTAGCCAGAGACTTTCCTAACAGCCCCAGAGGTTCCATCTTCTTATTACTGAATTTCATCCGAGCCTTACTGCTTACTGTGTTCAATTTCCTTTGAAACATGCAATCCCTGGGATGGTCCCAAGGATAGGGCCTGCACATTTTTATAATGGCAAAGCATTTTTTAAAAGTTAGGGTCAGGTTGAAGATTTCTAGGACTAATTCTGTATACAAGAGGGACGATTAATGTGAGTAGGGATAGAGAGTAGGTTAACACATTTGAAGCAGCAACAGATGCATACAATGTAAATTTGAAATTTTCCCTTTTATTTAAAAAAGGAGCCTGCAAAGTTCCTATGTCTGTTCCCAGCCCTGTCAATCACCCACCCGACATGTTGACAAAGTATCGGCTGTCTGAGCAGTGTGTTGAAGGAAATACTAAGGAAAGCAAAAGTATGTCAGAAAGTTACTTCCAAATGGTTAGAGGCATGTGATTTTCAGTACTGTGTGTTATGGAAATGTCAGGAATCGTATATTTTAACTGTGCAAGATAATGTCAGTGTGCATAGAGGTCTTTTTTCCTTTTCTAATTAGTACTGTTAGTGTTCAAAGAATAAAAATGGTTGTTTTACAGTTTAGATTCTAAGGTAGCAAAACCTGATTTTTCAACCATGACCTGCATGAGAGAAGCATCCTAGGATGTCTTAGATCATATTTTTAAGTTCTTAATTTATATAGTGTTTTTTTATGTTTTAATATTTTTGTGAACTGGTGTAAATTGTTAATGCATACAAGCTTGTGTATTTTTTGTAAATAGTTTTGTGATTTATTTCTTGATCCATATGTAAATATTTAGAGTATCATTTCTTCAAAACTTATTTGAACCTGAGTTTGTGGGTTTGGGGTTTTGTTTGTTTCTTTGTTTTGGTTGGGGGTGGGGGGAGAGAAGGGATTTTGTACTCTGATAATCCAGATGGAGAACTCTGGTTTAAAGCAAATGTCCCACTGAAAGCAATTCAAATATCAACAAAATCATTTCAGGTTAAAACAGACTTCTTTGTGTGTGTCTCCTTTTCAACCTAATATGAATTACAATTAGAAGCGGTAATTGACTGGGGATATTCAGACCCAAAGATTAGTGTCTGTATGACACAGATTATTATTGCAAATGGTATGTAATTTGATGGAAGGAGTTTAATGTCTCCTTTTTATATCTATTTGCCACAGTATGCTGCCTGGCCAAATTTTCCCCAGGTCCAACAATTATCTTAGAACTGCAGAGGCCTTTTGATCTTACTGGAAAGTCTAGGCAGACGCACTACCTGGGGCTGCCACGAGGAATCTTGCTGCTGCTGCCACCACCTGGCTCCTGAACTTGCAGTTCAAGAAACTGAGTTGGCTTCTTAATCTCAGGACTCTCCAGAAGGGGATTCTGAATAATACCCATATTTCTAAAGATTCCCACAAAGCATCTTGGGCATCCTGTTCACTTTTCAGAGCGAAATGACCAGAAAAGAGTCATCTGTTACACTTGGTCATCTGGTTTGTGGCAAACCAAGATAAAGTATTTCAATAAGACAAGTGCTACTAGTCACTCAGCTCGCTGCCTGACAGGATCCAGAGTGTGTTCTGTGCCAAGAGTTGTTCTGAAAAAGAAACGTTTCAATAATCAACCACGATTTTTTGAAGGAAAAGAAAAACCCAATATTCAGCTATTGAAGTCCTAGTTTTCCTACTGAGAGTCATACGTTACAAACCATTCTTCATTCTAAAATGTTAAAGCTTTTCCTTTTTTGCCAGTAATAGGGAAAGATGGTCTGGTGAGCCAGCCATCTTTGATATACCTGCAGAACACACTGCAGAACATAGGCAAAGCTATAACAGCTGCTTTCAGTAAACACTCCCAGACCTGAACAAGTGTTCCCATGGAAACTGCTCAGATGGGATTAAAGGAAAGATATGAATCACAATTGAACTGTGTTGTCTGATTTTCTGGGACTCATTTCCATACCAACTATTTCATCACCAATCTTCCATCATACTGATGAAAATATAGTATGTTCCTCTTAAAAGGTGTGTTTATCATTGAGCAATTGATGACAAATACATTGATGGTGTTTGAGATTTTAATAATTTGTGGTTCTATGTGAAAAGGCACATTTTAAAGTAACATTGACTCCCCGTTACAGGAAAAGTTTGGGCATCTGCAACCACCTGAAATAATACATTTTAGTTGGCCATGTTTCTCACATGTTTAAGAGTGTACCTCTTTAAAAGAAAATGGTGAGGTTTGGCTTTTATTTTAAATTAACTAAAGTTTTCCAGAATATATTTCAAGCCATAAACTTTGCTGTCAGTTAAACTTGACTGCACTATAATATAGGGATACCCTTGGGGACACAGGAGATAAAAAGAATGTTGTCTTTTATACCAAATGGCATGCCCCTACTGTTCTTTCAGGTTCTTGCATTATTTTAAAATTTTTCTATATCTTTTTTTTAATGCCACTTCATGCTATTGTTTGTGAAATACCTGTAAACCTTCCTCTTCCACTAAATAACCACTCAAAATAAATAAGCTTGTTGAAATGGTGAACAAAAGAGATTCTGAACTGGGGCTCTGAAAGATTTGGACTTCGTGTCATCAATTTTTTATTACTTAGCCTCATTCTTCTAGCAGTGCTTGAGTAGCCAAGTTTCAGAGGTCAGATATTGTAGAAGGTGCTTAGAAAGGAGAATGAAACAAAGAATAAATTCTCCCTCCACTTAACACTTCATGGGGAAACTGATTAGACACTGGCTTTTTCCATGTTGATAACTGCAAAGTATTTCTCCCCATGGCAGAAGGCTAGCTCATAGAAGACATTGAGTCCACACTGAACTCTAGTGGGAAGAAAGAAAAGAGTCACGTACACATACAGTTTCACACCTGTCATTAAGTCATTTAATTAGTGTTCTTTTTTCATTTCCTGAAAACATTTTGAAAAGCATCCTGAGGTTTCTGGGCCACTGGTTCATGTTTCAAACTGGGCAAGAAGTTCTCAAACTTCAGAATTCATATAAAGCACCTGGAGAGCCAATTAAAAAGAATCCTTGAGCAAACACCAGCCTGATGCAGTAGGTCTGGGATTGGACTCAGGAATGTACATTTCAGCAACCGCCCCATGTGATTCTGGTACAGACAGTTGAGAAATACTGATCTAGACAGCGTATTTCATAGACCTCTCTCAAAGGAAAACTATCTCTAGTTCACTTATACACCACTTTCTCATTTGCACCTTTGTTCCCCATCATTAGTCACATTAGCACTGAAATTTATTTCTCTATTCCCGGGGTTTAACTATTAAACCCAGATTCAATTTATAAGAATCACAGAAATTAGGGCTAATTGAGCTGATGAACAACATAAGAAGAAAACATTCTCAAACTGGTTTAAAAAAAGAAGCCACTAATAACTATACTATTGACTCTATACAAAGTTTGACAAGTTCACGAACTCATCCTACAGAAAGTGCTTAATATCACTATGGTCACCTTCAAAATATTCCCCTTGGGAAGCTATGCGCTGACGCCAGTGCCTAATCCACCCTTCAAAGCAATTTTGGAACTTTTTTTTTTTTCAATGGCCCTCAGAGTTGTCATCCTATTACCCTTGATGTCCTTAATGTCATCAAAATGTCTTCGTTTCAATATTTCCTTTATTTTTGGGTAAAGAAAGAAATCATTGGGGACCAGATCAGGAGAGTAGGGAGGATGTTCAATACAGTATTTGTTTACTGGCTAAAAACTCCCTCACAGACTGCTGTGTGAGCTGGTGCCTTGTGGTGCAAGAGCCATGAATTGGTGAAAAGTTCAGGTCATCTAACTCTACGCAGCCTTTTGAGCACTTGTAAATAGTAAACTTGGTTAACAGTCCAGTTGGTACAAATTCATAATGAATAATCCCTCTGATACCAAAAAGGTTGGCAAAATCGTTGCAACAAGTTCACGAACTTAATTATCAGACCTCGTATATTTATATAGTTAAGTCTTTGGGAGTGAGACATTTAGGCTGGTTAGGAAGTATAGTTAATGCATATTTACTATCAGGCAGTCAACTGTTTCAAATACTGTTTTCATGGAAAACAACTTAGAACCAAGTGATGTGCTGGCTCTCTTTTATCACTAAATTAGATAAAACTTTTACAAACACAGCTACTGATAACTGACATTGCTTACTCTACTGTAGTGCCAGTCACTGTTGTAAACGTTTGCATCGATTAACTCCTTGGTTCCTTATAACCCATGGGTTTATAGATGAGGCCACGGCACACAGAGATTACACAGTTTGGTAGTGGGTCTGGAGTTCAGATCCAGACACTCGACACGAGTTTATGCTCTCATAAAAGCAGGCTTTAAAATTGAATAGTTGAATCTCGACTGCTACTTACTAATTCTAAAGCCCTTACTGAACTACTAAACCCTTCCAAAACCCTTACTAAGACATGGCTTTGTCACCTCTAAAATGGGACTTATAATAGTACGTACCCCTCATGGTTGCTGTGAGATCTAAGTTAGATAATAGATGTTTCTAAAGGGTTTAGCAGGAGAGCAAGTGTCCAATAAAAGCTATCCAGGGTTTCTACTTGGAAATAGTACAAGACCGCACAGCAGTTAAAGAAAAGGGGTTATATTATGTTTTTTAAAGGATTTAATCAGTTGGGTCAAGCTTTCTGAAAAACTGAAAAGTTTCACATAGTTGACATCCACCTTGCAGGAAGAGAGCCTTGGTAAG